GGATTTCTGTAGCAACTTTATGGTGATAAGGTCGGTAATACGATTTGCTTCGATCAATGTTATTTGGCTGACCACGTTTCTGTAGTATATTCTGTAAGTTATTAGCATGTTAAATCCAAAAGGGGATTCAATGAACAGTGTGAATTTCGGTACCTAGTTGCAACCACCTGCCTTATGTTTGTTACTACATTTTAAGTAAATAATGGCAAACGAAAGTAGAGCAACATAACTATCTAGATGGTATGAACTGAGAACTTAGAGAGCGAACACACGCATTACTGCAGTAAATATTTGCACGATATTATAACTCCTCAATGAAATAGGAAAAGTATAATGCGCAAACCAACTTAAAAAACTGAATTTTGATTACTATAATCTAGACCACCATTCATGGCGCAGAAAAATAATGTAAATGAATGTGCACCACACCATTTTATAGCAGGAATCTGTAATTCCTTAATGTGCAGATGACTGGGTCAAATGCTCCCCGTTCCTATCGGATTATTCGCAGCTGCCAATGGCGTAAGTGATGCACGTGTTTTCGATCCGCGGGAGTCCTGTATGAGGAAGCACCTTGGTCTCCCGCTAATTAGGCTGGAATGTACGTGCATGAAAGACTATTAATTGACAAAATAGCGGTAATTAGAGAAAACCATATTGATAACTGCTTTTGTTGATCAGAAGTGTGAGTTTCTTTTGGAAACACCCCATCACGATGCATTTAGGCTCGCATAACTTTGGTTTCAGTATTTCCGAAATCCGTTAGATAATGATCAGTTGGAATTATATCTGGGGTACATAAATAAGAGTAAGTGAAGCCGGATCGTTTGGTTGTAAGTAAAAGTTTGTGCAAGCAAATTTGAACATACAAGTGCAGATAGACCAGGAGAAAATTGATAACTTCACCTAGGCTTGATAATGATCCAAAATACCAGCCTATCAGCACGGAATCTTCTTTCTGTAAAATCTATTATTCTTCCATGTTAGTATGCCTAGTTATAGTTTGTCTACAATAGTGGGATTCTGCTGTCAACAACAGGGCAGACGACTCTGGATAACGAATTATAAACGACGTAGATGGAACACTTGACATGTGTAAACAGACGGAAAGAACAAACCGCACAAACCCTCATCGCAATGTAAACAAGCTTTGGTCAGATTTCTAACTGCGTTCGCATTTTCTCTCTAACAGTAATTTTCATGCATAACAAACATTCACAGCGGAAACATACAAATTTAAATGTCGCAGGTAAACCGTCGCGTAATGTTATGGTTTGAAAAATTGGACAAAATTTCCGGAATGCCCTAAACAATGTGGAACATAAGTAATCAAAACGAAGGGAACTTACACATAAATACAATTTACGTACTTCCCCTAGAGTTATCTGGATATTGTCTGTTACGAAAATGCCTGGATTAAATTCACATGATAAAGTTATATTCGAGGGGTGAAGGTTTATTCTACAGACAAACTATGCTAGGTTATTATAGGTTTTTTATGTAAATATCATCATCACTATTTTACATGTAGCTAGAATAGGGACACAACTCAGGTACTGTGCCGCAGTGCATAAAGAAAAAAGGAAAAATGCAACAGGTGCAAGCCAGCTGATCTACCGGTAACGGATGGGTATCGTTTCGGTAAGCTACCAGCTGGCTACTAAGTAGCAAAATATTACTAGGCAAACTATATAAGGATAAATAGAGAGATCCTGGTTGAAGGTGGAGGATAAGAGCGGTTGGGTGGGACAGAGAAGCTCACAGAACGAACACCACTGATGTCGGCCCATAGCCATATCAGCAAGTTTATCCAGTCAAACGAGTTCATCGGCGTTCAGACCTCAAACAGGTAGCCGAGACGCTCCAACTGAGGTCAGCTTCGAAGTGATGGCCTACATTCCTCTCTACCAAGTCATCGCTTGGCCACCTCTTCAAGACTTCCATCAATACCACGACAAGCAAATAACCCATGTGGCGGGTGTCGGTGGACAAGCATTCGTTACATATGGCTGATTCGTCGGAGCCTGGTCACTGAAATAACAGTGCTGAGTGGTTGGTTTGCTATTCCTGTGTAGTAAACGAGGCATCGAACACGCTCGTTGCCTACTTCACCACTAGATGTGGTCGAACGTAACTAGCCTCCTTATGTCTGTTGATCTAAGGAGCCAGGTTTCACTAGCGTACAGTAGGGTTGAACGTGACGCTGCATTGTACACTCTACCTTTCAGGACGAGTGTGATGTCGCCATGGTACCATAAGTGGCGAAGGTTAGCAAAAGCGCCTGGAACCTTTGCTATACGATACTTGATCTCACCCTCAATCCTACGAAAGCTGATACAACTTCCCAGGTAGTTGCATTTGTGGACGGCTTCTAGCTGATACCTACTAAAGGTCAGTGTAAGACGCCGTCCATGTAAATCTTGGAGGAACGCTTTGCACTCCGATGTTGCGAAGTAAAGCCCGAAGTGACGGACAGCCAATGCTAATCTGTCCAGTGCCGCTTGGCACGTTTGTGAGCTGTCACAGATTAGGGCAATATCGTCAGCGTACTGCAAGTCAAGAAGTTGTTCTCCTGGGAGCATATCCACACCTTCTCAGTCGTGTCCTGTGAACGTGATTTCCATGGCTTCGTCAATAGCGAAGTTAAAGAGCAGATGTAACAGCGGGCATCCTTGTCTCACACCGATGGAGATATTAAAGGGCGACGACAGCCTGTCGTAAGCCCTCACTCTGCCTGAGCTACGCGCTTATAATGCTCGGATAATCTTTACATGTTTCTCAGGTACACTTATCCGGAGTAGATAGTCCCAAAGTGCATTTCTATCCACTGAATCGAATGCACCTTTGATATCGAGGAACACGACAATGGTGGGCCGCCAATGTGTGACGGTGCTCCAACAACTGACGCAAAGTGAAGATGTGGTCAATGCAGCCACGACCTCGATGAAACCCGGCTTGCTCTTCACGAATATGGCTTTCACAAGTGGCAGTCAATCTGTGAAGGATGACTGAGGCAAGCAATTTGGAGGCGATGAAGAGCAGACTGACTTCTCTATGGTTGCCGAATTCCGATCGGCAGCCTCCTTTAAAATTGGGACTAGGAGGGAACGGCTCAAGTCGGTTGGAACAGTTTCCTGCTCCCACAGTGTTGTGTAGCCATAGGGGAAGCAAGAAGACTGGGCTGCGATCACGAAGTCATTTATTAAGATTACGCTCGAATATTTATAGTATATATACTAATTACAACCGTCCGTCTCAATGGCTCATCCCTGTTATTTGCATTGTGTCGCTGTCTCCCTTTCCATTGGTTTATGCTTGCTCGCGACGTACACTGTCTAAATCACCTTGGCTTTCTTAGTCCATGTAAGATTGGCGGGAATGCGCCCGCGACCTTTTTCCTGCGGTCCAGTGCCACAAGCCTTGGCTCAAGGGTGCACGAGTATGCACTCCTTCGTCTGTTGGTGCCTGAATGCTCACTTTCATGTCCAGTGGATAGTTGCATGTTGGTCGCAATTCCGGCCAAATATTTCCTGATTGGCTGACCAATCTGCTTTCGGCAACATGCTCACTCCTTATCGGTCTGGCCTGTGACGTTCGATCTGCATTATATCGTTCCTAATCACCAGCATTTCCAGCCCCCATCACACACATTTTCACTATTAACTAGATAAATCATCTACAGGAGCAAGTCTCACGAATTTGAAGAGCTCTGGAGGAAGATGGACAAATTTAGCTTTTCATATCCCCAAAAATACGATGCCAATAATTTAAGCGGTATAAACCAATTCTTCTCACCATAATACATTTGATTATTCCAGGAGCACGTTTAAGTTTATGCCTTCATTTGAAGCGGCTATAACAATAATGAATTTAATTTGTTTATAACTTTATGATTTGCATTCTGATTTGGTAGACACTTTGAGCTAGTAACCTTAACAGAATGCACTTGCGTTTTATTATAAAAATTTGAGAAGTTCTTAATAATCTACGACGTATGGTTCATATACCAATTATTAGAACTAAAACAGATCCTAGTTGCTTTCTCATTATTTTTAAGGGCAACAAAAAATAAGCAACCGCGTTTAATGCCCTTTATCTGCTTGCATGCTTCTGCTTTATTGGAAAACTAAACAGTTTCATTCTAGTAACATATTCAAGTATCTATATGTGTTTGTGTTAAAATGTATTTCTTTACATACCCACAAATAATTTTCAGAGCGACCACCGGTGAATTCTTATAAGGAGTAACTATGGAGTTAACAAATTTCCCTAATTTGTTCCGCACATCACCTTGCTGACCGGTTCTCAGCAATCTTCGTTAACAAGTTGTCTCTGTCGTTAACAAGTGTCTGAGAGTCACAATGCTGCGTGCATATACGTCGGCATCTGAGAAATCTGTGGGATTGGCTAACACTATCCATTTCAATTGACAAAGTTTACAGAGTTTTAACGTGAGATTATTCCACAGATTTCGCTGGCGCATTCAATTCGCTATTGCGAGTAAACACCGATGCAGGATTTGTAATTATGGCTAAAATATATAATGCCAGGTTAACAAACATTCCTTGCAAATCATATTATATTTTCATTTCTGTGTATTAGAATTAGGCATGAAATGAACAAATGTTTTGTCAAAGGGACATTAACAACGTACAACGCTTTATCTATAGTTGCCTGAATAATAGCGTTCTTAATCATTTAAATCGCCGTAACGTATGTAATTGCCATTACGTTTTGTACTTCTGGCACATATGTGTTCAGAATAGCCAGAAAATAAACAAATTTGAGAGAATCCTTAATGAAAATGTTAGCGACACCAATGTATTAGAGGTGAATTTTTAATAGTCACAAATACGTATAATATGCCCAGAGCAAGAATGTTAGATCAAATTCGTGCAAAATAGCGCCTTTGTGTCAAACCTCAGCTTGAAATCGCATTCCGTTTGCATAGCCATTTGAACTTAATGTCTCTTAAGCTAACATTGTGCTATTTCTTGTAGGTGAGGTACTGACTACTTTCTTGACTACCGTGGGCTTGCTTGTATCTATTCTTCTGTTGGCTGAACGAAGATTTATCGGACAATGGAAACATGTCAATCCCCGTGGACAACGGTCTATGGTTCAAAAGCAGACGGATACCTAGAGTGTAACTGGTAAGTTGCATGTGCAATTCGCCATCCACTACCTGGTCATTGAAGTCAAATTATGCAGGAAAAAAGCAGTTGCATCTGTTTAAACAGTTTGGGGAATAACGCGTCCCATTTTTATTGGTTACTTAACCCCGTGTGTTACAACCATTTCGTCAGATTCAGCATGTTTATTGTTGCATCATAATTTATATCGAGTTTAATATTTTTTTCAGAATAAAACCGTGCTCTTATTTGTTGGCGAAAAACAACTAGGAACCATGGCCAAATTGGCAGCATTAAGGTTGGGCTTCCTATAACAAAATGATCAGACGGATCATATTTTATGTCACGGCATGTGATGGGTGGAAGTATTTTTCAAAATAACCGTTAGTTACTACGACTAAATGAATACCTAAACGTTGAATACCGGAAAGGAACGATTGCAGTGGAAAGTTAGATTTTGACATAGCTGTGCTGCAGCTCACCAGAAATAGTAAACCAAAAGCAATTCTACATCTTTTAAGGCAGGTGTTTAAATTTTAGGAAATATTAAACCTTGGAAAACCATGGTTTTTGGAAGTTGCTGCTTAAGTGCCTTGAACTCTCGTGATATTCTGCTCTCTGATTTCCAGCAAAGCAAAGCAGACAAATTGTACATAAATTTTTAATTGCGGCTAAATTTATAAACAGGTCTTCTGCAGAAGATTGTTAAAACCTCTGTCGTAACCACAGAAGGATATTAAAACTCATTGTACAGCTATATGAAAATAGCACAACGCTCCGCCCTATTTCTTCCATTAAGCTACGGTTCATTTTTCCAAAGAGATGCTTTTACTCACGTTTATAAGGTTTTTCTTAATCTAACGTATTGGCCGATCGTTTTCATCTACGCAATGGTTCTTTAAACAAAAATAGGTGAGTCACGTCCGCGGCTGCATAGATGGTTGAGACCATAAAAAACTATCATGAAAGGGCACCGGCTAATTTCATCCATTTGTAAATCTTACACCGGATAAGGGAACTGTGTATGGACAACTACCCCTCATTTACCATGAATGAAGATTGTTCATATAATTGCAATTTTATTATGATGCATCCACGAATACATATAATGCATTCGGCGTGTCTGTCAATGGAGCAGAAAAATCACTTGCGTTATGAGGATAATTTACCAACGGAGTTATAGTCTTAAATGTTGAGCTCTTAAGGTGAAACTGTGACCTTCACGAGTAGACACAACGCTGTCAGCCACTACTTTTATGTTCTAAATTTCAACTTTATATACTAGCGAATCACGCCGTGGAAGCTGACATGCCTTGATGTTGCAGTTCCGGAATGATATATAGCAATAAAACAGTTATGTGCAGTTCGTGAGAAGTATGGTGGTTCGTTGGGTTTCGTCGCAGTTGGGCTCATCTGGCTTTTATTAGCTTGTGAAACTAGGTTAACAGCTGTCAAGGTAAAGGTTGTTAGCGGTTTAAAAGCGGCCAGTTATGACCACTTGATTCACCTGTAGAAGCATTCGAGGATAATGAAAGCGATCTTTTCTGAAACAATAGTTGTTACCCTGAAAGATCTAACATCATTGCATGGGAGCAACATATATGTTATCAGCACTGCTTATGCTATTGCAAACATTTAAATCTATGTATTTTGGCAGGTATAGCCAAAAGTAGCTAGGTAACTTGTGTCAACTATTTGCGTTTTTATCGTTATCGTGAGCTTAGAACACTAATACATTTATCATAAATTTAAAAACCGAAGAATTAAGGAAATGTTTCTGACTGCTTGTTATTTTTATTCTTAAACAGCAACTACAAGTGCGAAATTAGTTAGCACCACTCTTCCAGCGTATTTTCTCTTAACCATTACTAAAGACATAAAGCAAGCAACCGCTTCAAATATACATGCTTTACGCCGACGATCAAAGGATTATAGAGTACTTCGGTCAGCATGATAATTAGGGCGTGCTGCAATGTGATCTTAAAAATGCTTCTGAATACGCAACTATTAATCTTCTCCAAATTAGCTTGTATAAATTTTACTTGAGACAGCGGAGACGACACATATATAGACTGTCTCAAAACAGCGCGCACTTGATGTACAGGATAGTATTCTGCGAAGATATTGAGGATAAAATCAAATGCCTTACGCCCTGCTGTGTGTTATCGAAGTCAAACACTTATTTTCCTGCAAAGGATGAACACGTAGGTCCTCATGTGAAAAAAGTATTTCCTGCATTTTAAACTTGATTAAGCATGAGCCTGCTAACTCATTGATCCTATATTGGTTAATAACCAAGAGTTCCACAAACGTTCACGCAAATTTAACTGGAAGCTATCAAAATGTCATGGAATTGTTTGTTGTCTGCAAAGGAAGTCTACATCAACGTATTTTTACCCCAAAACCACCCTGATTTTGCCGTTACCTGAAACGAAGCTACAGCGCTAATCTGAGGAAGCATCAGTTGAATTTGGCTTGACAGAATTGTTGGCTAAATGCTGTTTAGGATTCGTACCCTCCAAGTCTATTATGTAATGCTATCTCAACGTTAACAATTTTAATTCTACGATTACCAATGAAAGACAATACGATGGTGTATACATAATATGCGCTGGGTGATATGTCTAACTTTTACATTATGACAAAGAAAACTATTTAATTTTTATATTCATCACCTGCTAAAACAATGAAGGGTGATATGTAATTTTTAGTGTGATCATCAAGAAGATTCCCGTGATGCTCAATATATTTTGTCAAAGTTAATTTAATAAAATAAAAATATGTTTGTGTATTTTTGACCCCAATATACGTTTGATATTCGTGGACATAGGGGTTTTATACATAATTTTACATAAACACAACCTAAGTTATCATCATCTGTTTAATCAGCCTTTCCTAATTAACTGCTACTGTTAATCAACACAGCGGTTACCAACGACTCATTAATTTAACAACAATATATGTGCTGCAGGTTTACAAGCTTTTGTGCCGCAGAAACTAAGATAAGCAATTGAAGATATGCAAAGATTAGATGGTATAAACACACATCTTATACTTTGTACTGGGGTACGAAAAAACAAGTTCAACTTTACCTCTGTATTGTTCGTTTGTTGTTTAGGACAGACTCAGTTCACTTATCTGAATATGATTCTGGAGAAAATATACTGGATAACATATTGGGACAGGTTTAAATATTCGGTTGTAATGTTACCATCATTTAAGCTCTCGCACCTGTTGCGGTGCTTTGTTGCAAATATTGTCTTAACACCAAATGAAAGTACTAATTAGAACCTACTTACATCCAGACTCCGTGAAATAGCCTACACATCCTTTCAGAGCACTATAAGCCGGTTCAGGTTTTCGGAAGTTGTCAGCAATGCGCATTTCATCCAACCAAGTGCAGTGAAATTTTGCCAGTCTGCATGGAGACAACTGAGTTACAGGGACTTTAAGGATCTTGTCATCTGGATGACAGCAACGTGTGAGTTCATGGCTCGCAAGCGACAATATATCAAATATTATAAATTTGTCACGGCGGTCGTTGCCTTTCCCTCTAGCTCAGTGGTCTCATCCACCGACTAGCAAAAGCAGAATGGTGTGTTTGAGCCATGCTGTTAACTCATTGTTAACGATTATTGAAAGGATAAAAGAAGCGCACGTAATATTTTTGAAAGTGGGCTGATTCCTGTTGGGTTAGAAGGTAAAGAAATGCTACTTTACGGTACGCATTCCCATAAAACCCACATTCTGGATGGTGGTCCGCTAACCTCTTATAACTGAAAGATTGCAAAGGTGTTACGCGTTCTCATTTTAGCCTTAGGGGTATTTTAATCAGAATGGTTCTGATGTAATTTTTCATTGCTCAGGTATTTTACTATTTTTTGGTTGCAGCCAACAAAATCGCCATGAGCAAAGCCAGCGTCATGCGTGTGAAAGAAATGTAATTTTAGGAATATAATTCGTTTAATATGTGCGCAACTGATATTGTCAAAAATGAAGTGGCTTGTACTGTGCCTTGTCGTGCATAAGAGTTGTTGTACCTACAGTGCAATATCCGTTTTAAGCAGATTAGCGGTATAATTATATTATGGAAGTGACAACATAGCCGTAGACCTCTCGCTTTAGCTCGTAGGCATTATTCTGTCAATTTGCTTGTTCGACCGTATGCACAAAACATCACTTTCTAAAGCACAAATTAATTTATCACAAGCACTTGGATTGTGGCATATCGACTTGAATACAAAAATAACTAACATTGCAAGTCAAAAGGCACGTCATTTATAGTTCTTTTATTTTGCTAAAATAACCTACATATTCCGTATAAGATCAATAAAAGCTTAATAGCTTACCTTTCAGGCAGACAGGTTATGCTTAGAACGATGGATATATTTAGGTGTTCTTTTCTCAAAGTAGGAGTGTAAGCACAAGTTACACATGAAGCCAGGCGATTTACATTATTATCCTTGACTGCAAAAATTGACCGCTAAAGTTGAGAACATGCGTATTTCTGAAATGGTTTTTGTTAGTAGCATGTACTGGAAATACACTAACGCAAGCACAAATGTTACTACTTGTTCTATTTCTTAACTACTCTTTCAGGGACTGTCATGTAGCATCCGCGTGATTACTGTGGGCAGTGTTTCCGGTCTCAGAAACGTGGACGTGCCGTAACACAAGGCGAAAAGAAGCCACCGATATTTTCATCCGTTCTGACCAAATACATTTATAAGGATGAATATATGAAAATTTGAAAATACACATTTATTGATCAGGTGCATTCAATTTAAAAAGAATAAAGGGTACAAAAGTTCTAACTTAACACTACAACTACATCAAACTAACTAACAGAAGATTTTGTGCGGTACGGTTGCAATCACTAATAATTCAGGCAAATGGTTTGCAATTAAAAACCGTGTCATCCCTGCTGCAACTAAGTGATTTGTGGGTAGCGCATTTGGCGTTCTTGAGCCACGCGGTCGATTCGCATGGACACTGTTGCCCATTCGTAGAC